TCCCTCCCCCAATCCTTTTTCTTCCACACCCCCCACCCCATTTTCCCTCTTTGGTAGTTCTGGACGGTTAAGTTCCCGGTTATTGAAAGTTAGGAATCGTAGGAATCGACTCCGAACCCAATTACTTTCTTTCAAATGATGTGGTTTCTTCGGGTGGTTACCTGGTGGTTGGCTCCGAACAGCTTCAGGGTTTATGGTAATATTGCTTTCAGAACACGACGAAGCATCAACTTTTAAAAAACTAATTTAAAAAATAAAAGAAGATTTTAATGATCAAAGTAACTGGTAACCGCTGGTTTACGTAAAAGGAGTCGGAATTTTTCTTACGTAGCATTAATCGTGGGAATCGGTTCCGGAATCGATCCTTCGCCCAGCTCTACTCTTTGGGACTGTACCAAAGACCTTACAACAAACTGCATAACCTCCTAGGACTGTTACTGTACTCAACCCAGGGCGCACTCTCCGCGGTCTCGTTTTGGTCAAAGTGGGGTAACAGCAAAGATGTACACTATAGGTTTAAAAGGAGATAACTCTATGGGTAACAGCAAAGAGCTTAAAACACTTTTGATCTCCTTGGGTAACAGTTGCATCTGTCGGGAAGACTTTGTGAGGATCGTCCTGATGCGTTAGTTTTAGTAGAGGTTTTATGGCGCTCGCAACTACATAAAGTCATCTGAGCGCCAGAAGATTGGAGGTGTTACAAGAGAGTAACAAACATAAAAAAGAAGAAGGGGAGGTAAGAACGATAGATGTTTCATAGGAAAGAAGAAGCAAACCACACCAGAGCACCCGCCAACCACCCACATGATGATCGAGATGCATGAAGACGAGGTGTGTGTATGGTGCGAGCGGGGGTGGGGGGGGGGATTTACTTTACGCAGAATCTATACTTAAGATACCAGATTTCTACTTCATCTGACAAGTAACAAGCTTGTGTTTCTCAAGTGCAGCAACAACGGTCGTTCAACTGTTATGAGAAGAAGAAAAAAAGCGTCCCCCTAAAAAGAAAGGTGAGTTTTGCTTACATTCAAAATTGCCTTCTTGATGGATTTGACCCTAACAACAGAGACAATGGTAGTATAATGCCTTAGGAGATTGCACCTGATCGATATGCCTGCGTGCCCTGTGGAAAAAGAAGTCAAGACCAGCCTTCGTTGAAAGAGAAGGGCGTAGCAGCGCCGGGTTATTGTTAGCCCTTACTTCCCTCTTGTCCAATGATTAGAAATACCTCTTGTCCAATGATTAGAAATACCTCTTGTCCAATTATTAGAAATACCTCTTGTCCAATGATTAGAAATATCTCTTGTCCAATGATTATAAATACTTCTTGTCCAGACAATTCAAATTGTATCTCTGTAAAAAAAAATTCAGTCATATACAACAAGCCAGTACTGCTTTTGTTTGATGTTTCAGAAAATAACATGCAGAACTTCCAGACACTCTTAGATTACAGAAGAAAA